TTGGCCAGGACGGCACCTGCGGCGCTCTCTACGACCCGGCCGTCACCGACGGCGCCGTGGTGGCCGAGATGCTCGACCACGCCCTGGAGCACAGGTGAGGCCGGGGGGCGTGGCCTCCTTAGCCACGCCCCTTTCCCCGCTGCTCACCTGTGCTCAGGTGCGTCACCCCTCCCCCCCCACAGCCGCAGGTGTGGCCCCGCCCCCTCCCCCCCGGCCACGCCCCTCCCCCCCCCGCAGCGGCTGCGCTTCAGCGTCGGCCCCGAGATCTCACCTGAGCTGGAGCGCGCCAAGAGACACCTGGACAGGTGAGGGGGCGGGGCCGGACAGGTGAGGGGGCCGGGCAGGTGAGGGGCGGGGCAGGTGAGGGGCGGGACCAGGTGAGGGGCGGGACCAGGTGAGGGGCCAGACAGGTGAGGGGCGGGACCAGGTGAGGGGGCGGGGCCGGACAGGTGAGGGGGCGGGGCCAGGTGAGGGGGCGGGGCCAGATGAGGGGGCGTGTCCAGGTGTGACCCCGCCTCTCCCCCAGCCTGGCGGCCGACGTGGAGCTGCACTGCCTGAGCCACCCTGGCTTCGGCCCGGGGGCGGGGCCGCACGGCCACGCCCTGGTGCAGGTGGGGCTGCAGGTGGCCTTCTACAGGTGAGGGGGTGGGGCACCGCTGGGCACGGCTGGGGGCACACCTGGGGGACAACTGGGGCACACCTGGGTACTGCTGGGCACACCTGGGTACACCTGGGATACAGCTGGGTACACCTGGGTACTGCTGGGCACTCCTGGGTACACCTAGGCACACCTGGGTACTGCTGGGGCACACCTGGGCACACCTGGGTACACCTGGGCACACCTGGGATACAGCTGGGCACACCTGGGTACTGCTGGGGCACACCTGCGTACACCTGGGCACACCTGGGACACACCTGGGGCACACCTGGGCACACCTGGGCACACTGGGGGCATACCTGGGACACACCTGGAGCACACCTGGGCACACCTGGGATACAGCTGGGTACACCTGGGTACTGCTGGGGCACACCTGCGTACACCTGGGCACACCTGGGACACACCTGGGGCACACCTGGGCACACTGGGGGCATACCTGGGACACACCTGGAGCACACCTGGGGCACACCTGGGTACACCTGGGCACACCTGGGATACAGCTGGGTACACCTGGGTTCTGCTGGGGCACACCGGGGCACGCCTGGGCACTCCTGGGGCACACCTGGGAGACACCTGGGATACATGAGGGGGTGGGGATCTCACCTGGGGCCCACCTGGGATAGGTGAGGGGGTGGGGGGGCACAGCTGGGGGCAGGGGAGGGGTTGGGGGGGGGGTCTCACCTGTGCCCAGGTGAGCTCACCTGTGCCCCCGCAGGGCCCACGGCTCCCTGTGTGCCAGCTGCGAGCCGCTGTCCCTGCGCCGGGTCCTACCTGGCTGCACCGACCTGCTGCGCCCACCTGGGCCGCCCTGCCTGGCGCTGGCCCGCGCCCTCGACGACCCCGACGCCCAGGTGAGGGGGGCGGGGCTTGGGGGGGGCACAGGTGTGCCCAGGGGAGGGTGTGGCA